TTTTGTTAGATAAGGTTCTCCGGAATCTGTGTCATTCCATTATTATAAAGACTGTGAAGCTATTATAAATATATGAATTGACATTTGGGCTTATTATTATTATTATTGTTGTTTGTGTCAGAGATTGAGTCCAGGGTGCTTAACCACTGAGCCACATCCCCAGCTCTTATTATTTTTTATTTTGAGACGGGGTCTTGCCAAGTTGCTTAGAATCTCACCAAGTTGTTGAGGCTGGCTTTGAACTTACAATCCTTCTGTTGCCTCCTGAGCTGTTGGAATTACAGGCATGCATCACCACACCTGGCTGAATTTTGAATTGAGAGACAAATGGAGAATCACTGTAGCCCATCACATTTAAATCCATGAACTACATTTGAGGTCTTCAAAGCTTCTTGGGCTACTATTCCTCTTGAGACTTGCCAAACTTTTGGGGGGTGGGTCAGGAGGGGGGTGGCTTTGTTATTAGTGTTCACCTTAGATTAAAAATAAAATTCAGCAAAGTACAGATGGACATGCCTATAATCCCAGCTACTGAGGAGGCTAAAGCAAGAGGATCACAAGTTTGAGGTCAGCCTTGGTAAGTTAGTGAAACCAGGTTACAAAATAGCTCAGTGACAGAGCAGTTGCATAGTTGCAATCCCCAGGGCCACAACATGGAGGGAGGGAGGAAAGARGAAAGGAGAGTCATTGATAACTTATGAAAATAATTTTAGTTCAAATCTTAGAAATTTTTTTCAAAAAATATATTTCCAAATAAAAAGAGCAGTGCCTTGGAGTGCATTTTGGAAAGTTGTGAGGGTACTTTGGTTACCACAGTGACTGGGGATTGTACTGGCTGAATATTCTACAATGTATAAAGTAGCCCAACTCAATTAATGTTTGTTCTGCAGCCCCTCCTTACCTTCTGTGCATCTCCCCAGGCTAGCACCTCAACAAATACATAATTTTGTAGTACATATAGATATTGAAAAATCTTCGTGAGATATTAAACGAAAGCTTATGAAGTTAGAGGAAGATCATAGTCTTAGTTTCTCATTGCTATATAATAAAACCCCACACACTTAGCAGGTTAAACAACACTCATATTAACATGCAGTTCTTTAAGTCAGAAACTGGGTTCAGCGAGTTCTTTGCTCAGGATTTCACAAAACTGAAATCAAGGAAGGAGTCTGCCAGGCCAGCTGGTTTCTTATATGGAGTGTCCAGAGAAAGAATCTGCTTGTAGGCTCATTCAGGTTGTTGGCAGAATCCATTTCCTTTTAGTCAAAGGTCTGAAGCCTGCATTTCCATGCTGGCTGTTTGCTGGAGGTCACTCCCTGCTCCTAGGAGCTGCTCTCCAGTCCTTGTACAMAGCCCCTTCCATCCCCAAAGCCAGTGATGGTGTATTGAATCTTGCTTGTTCTTTGACAATATTTGATTTCATTTTCTACCACCAGCCAGAGAAAACTGATTTTAAAGGGCTTGCCTGGTTGGGTCAGGTCCACCCACATAATCTCCGTACCTTAAAATCAGTGGGCTTGAGACTCTTAATTACATTTGCAAAATCCCTACACTGTAGTGCCTAGATTGGTGTTAAGCAAGGAACAATAATTTTGTGGGATCATTTTTAGAACTCTGTCTATTGCCATTGTTGATATGAAGAGAAAAGCTTAAGTGAGATAAAGATATTGTCTCAAAATAATTTATTCAATCTGCACATTCTGTTCTGAAAGTATTATACTATTTCTAACTTGCATATTTAGTTGAAAAAGATTTCATGTGATTTAGTATTAAATCAAAAGCTATGAGTCTGTTTGAAAATTTATAATATGAGATTTGAGATTTCTGTTCAGACTTCACTTATTAAATTAGTGGAGATACTTGTAATGCAGAGATCTCATTGGTTTTCTTTAATATAGACTAATAATATTACATATTATTGCCTCTGTTTGTGTAATGATAAGAAGTCATGGTTGTGAAAAAAAAATTTTATTTGGGGTTAGTTGTAGTTTTTCATTTTATCCTAGAAGTAGCCCCTGTCAGTTTTGCACTGCTTTGCTGCCTCTTGCATCATGTTTTTTTTTTTTTAATATTTATTTTTTAGACACAATACCTTTATTTATTTATTTTTTTATGTGGTGCTGAGGATCGAACCCAGGACCTTGCACATGCTAAGCGGGCACTCTACCGCTGAGCCACAACCCCAGCCCCCGCATCATGGGTTTTCTTTTCTTCTAATCCATCTTCTATTCCTTCCTTCTTTGCACCATTTAGAGAATAAAGTGTCCAAGGTCTTTTTATAGACTAGATATTGGTTGGATATCTCAACAGGATTTCTTTTTTTTTTTTTCTTAAAGAGAGAGAGAGAGAGAATTTCAATATTTATTTCTCAGTTTTTGGTGGACACAACATCTTTGTATGTGGTGCTAAGGATCGAACCCCGGCCGTACGCATGCCAGGCGAGCGCGCTACCACTTGAGCCACATCCCCAGCCCTCAACAGGATTTCTTAACAGGACAGATTTTCTGTGACACTTTCTTTGTATCCCACCCCATGACATAACCCAGGAGATTATTTTAATACCACACTTTATAAGTTAAGATTGAACAAGGGATGTAGTTCAGTGTAGAGCACTTCCCTAACAGTGTGAGATCCTAGGTTCAATCCCAGCCCTGCAATAAATACATACAAACATAAATACATAAATCATAGCTCATTTGAGATAATGTACTTCTTCAGTTCTCTACTTTAGTGCATTTCCATTATTACTTAATACTATTTTTTTTCCTACTGCTAGTCTGTATGTCTGCTCTTCTATTTTCATGTACTTGTCCAAAGTTGTTTCCAATAATTTTATTTTTAAATCCAAACTTATTTATAATAAGTTGGTTATGTACTCTGCCTGCTTAATTATGTCTTTATATCCCCAAACATTTATATATTAAAATACGTATTTAAAAAATTAAATTACTTTCTTTTTGTTTCTTTTTGTCAGGATGTTTTTTAAAAAATCTTTTTGTGTAGGTAGGTTATCATCTATGAATTTCACTTCAGGTTGATAAAGAAGGCATTATTTATAAGATACTGTGATTAAAAGAGGGAGATTCATTGTGATAGGGCTAAGACCTACTGTTCTATCATGCAAAGAAAACATGATAGCCATCAGTCCTTTCCTACAGAATGGAATAGGCACTGTCTTCTTGTCTTGAAGGATGCTCTTCATTTAAGTCTTCATCCCTTATTTTAATCTAGGTTATCATTTACTTTCCTCAACTTCGCAGTAGGRGGTTCAGCTTGTTTTGTTAATATTTACGCATTTGAGGTTCTTAGCAGTGTCTTCTTTTGAAAAAAAAATTATATGATTTGCAACATGATGATCCTTCTATTGTCCATTACCAAGAAATTTTTGCAGCTTGATTTTTCGGGGGGGGGATGAGTACTGGGGTTTGAAGTCAGGGGCACTCAATCACTGAGCCACATCCCTAGCCCTAATTTGTATTTTATGTAGAGGTAGGGTTCTCACTGAGTTGCTTAGTGCCTCACTGTTGCTGAGGCTGGCTTTGAACCTGAGATCCTTCTGCCTTGGCCTCCCAAGCTGCTGGAATAGCAGGCGGGTGCCACAGTGCCTGGCACAGCTTGATTTTTTTTTTTTTTTTTAACCCAAGCTCTCTCCACCCCACCAAAAAACAAAACAAAACCTTAGTGAAATTATAGTTTATGAGCACAGAGTCTCATCAGGCATGCTTTAGATTAGAATGTTGTCAGATTCTACCCTCTATATGTCACATAACTAGTGTACAATGAAATAATATTATAGAAAAGGCTGTAGAGTAGGGGGAAAAAAAAAACCTAGGTTTTTAATCTTGGCCGTCATCTACTGCCTTGAACAGGTTATTCGGCTTTTCTGAGCCTGGTTTTCTCATCTGCAAGTAGAGATAGCTATCCTGCCTATCTTCCAGGGTTATTGTTAGGATCAAACAGTTCAGTGACTGCTAGAGAAATTCTGTCAAAATTCTAAAAGGTACAACAATTAMTGTTAGGTCTTATCATCTATAAATTTTGTAGTTATTAAATCAATCTTGTAGATGGCTTCAGATTACTTAATTTTTTTTTTTTTAAACCACTGTCACCAGTGCTGAAACAATACTAAATAAAGGATGAGTTGAAAGGGAATTTAGAAGAAACTGCTTGGCCGTTGCCATTGAGATAAGAGTGTAGGCAGCAATCTCAYTCAAGGCACTGGTAGTAAAAACAGGGCAGACAGGCTCCAGGTRGATCAGCAGGGCTTGGAAACCAGTTGGGCTTGTGGGTGAGGGGAAGGTGAACCCAAAAGACTGGGAGGCAGGTGATCACAAGGTATAGCAGAAATTTAGGAAGAAAAAGATGTGCTTTTCATTGAGTCTGGTCAGGTTTGAGCTGCTATTGGTGATGTCCAAGGCAGTTTGGAATATGGACTTGGAGCTCGAAGGCCCAAGGCTAAGTTGGACCAGGAAACACCTCTGCAGTGAGATAATTGAATGAGGCAGGAAGGGGACTGAGGATGGAGCTTTATAGAATAAATGTGTCTGCACTGAAGGGCCTGAGAGGCAAGAGGAACCCACAAAGGCCCTTCATACTGTGTGTTCCACAGTCTGAGACGGTTCTGTTCGGCAGAGTATGGAACATGGGAGAAGGTTTGCTGTAATTGCTGTTGTAAATTTATGTATTAGAAAAGGTCCTTGACATCTGATGAACTATGGAGGGAAGATGAAATCTTTCTTAGGATGTTATCTCCCAAAGATAAACAAAGTAAAAGTGAATAACCAAAAAAACGGAGTAAGAATTTACATTTTGTTAAATAGTCTATAGTAAAGTTTAACAATGAAATATTTGTTTTTCAATATTTCAATATTTTTCAATATTTTTCAGTATTGCTGGAAGGCATGTCTCTTACTGAAAGAACAGTTTATATGAAATAGAACTATAGTATTAATTTTTTTTTTTTTACTAATTCTCTTTTTCCTCCTTTTTCCCCCCTCTAGATTTTACATTGTGCTATAGGTAAGTAAGGAAATTTTCCCCTACTATATWCAGTCATTTGTGTCTTTTTAAAAAGTGATAGATGATTCTTTTTGAATATTTGATTCTTATTGAATACTGCAAAAAGGAAATAATTTAATCATGATATATAAAATTGCTCAACTTAGAATGGCTTCTGCTTTCTAAAATCATAAGTATTATTTGAACGTTATCACTGAACACTCTTGATCTTTCTGTCAATCTAAAAGAGTTGTCTTCCATTTTCTTGGTATAAGGGTAATGGAGAAGCACTTGCATGTTTATAAAAATGTGGCTTGGGTCCTGATGCTGGGCTGTGTTGAAAAGCCCTCTGCAATCACTTAATGACACATTTTCTCCTTATTCTTAAAATGGGAGTGCTGCACATAATTGCCTCCTTCCCAAATGAATATCATATATATATAAGAGTATAAGGGGTTTGCAGAACAAACCAAAGGGGTTTCTGCTAAAAGCAAATCCAGTATGTTTTCCTTTTTCTTTTTGTTGGGAGGGGAGAATTGTCACATTTTGCCCTTGAACTGGTAGCATAACTTCTAGTGTATGGTAGCTAGACCTGTCTAATTAAAAATCAATTTGGGGGTGCTGGGGTTGTGACTCAGCGATAGAGTACTCGCCTCGCACATGCGAGACCTTGGGTTTGATCCTCAGCACTACATACAAAAATAAACAAGTGAAATAAAGGTGTTGTGTTCAACTACAACTTAAAAATATAAATATTTTTAAAAAAATCAGTTTGGGGAAGTTAACAGATCACACAGAGCAAGCCCTTGGTAGTTGCCATCCATTCCAGGTTGTCTGTCAGAGGAGGGTTTGAAAGTTGATACTCATTTGCAAATTCCAAAAGTCTGAAAACTTGAGAACTACAGATTTAAACTGTTATGGCCCTGACCAGTTGAACTCACAACTGAAGTGGGCTTCTACTATATTCAGGGCATTGGGCTTGGCACTCAGTATTCAGAGGTGAGGAGACTCATAGTTGAGAAAGACATGCAGTTGGAGACAGCAGGCTGTACACTGTGGGTGTGGCAGAGGTCTCTGTGATACCTGGCCCCAGGATTATTAGGATATCACCATTATAAAGAGTTGCACTTCTGCTCTTTCCCACTTACCCAGGGTCTGTGCCTGGAGTTCAGGGACACCTTGAAGGATATGGAGAATTTTTGTATGCATGTGTCTGTCTATTTGGGGCTGGGGGAGATTTTATAGCTTTTGTTAGAGTCTCAGAAGAGTTTATGGTCCCCCAAATGTTAAGAAATAGTGCTTTATAACCCTTGAAGAATAGATTTTGAAAGGCATTTGGGGCTCATCTGTCACATGTTCTGTTTTTCCAAAAGTTAAGTGACCTGCCTAGGTTCCACAGCTAGTAAGTTGTATCCTGTTGGAGCCAAGTTTGTCTCCAAAGCCTGCCTGGATGATTTTATTTTATGACACATGGGTTTTAGCTTGTGTATAGTCTTACATATGTTTCTTTTTTAGTCCTTTATCTGCAATTTTTAGATGAGAAATTGTACCCCTTCTTAAGTATTAAATAAATTTTAAGCATAAGCTAGCGGATTGGGAGATATATTTGGCCAAAGAGAGTTCTGGAACCACTTCAGGCCGCCTCCACATGACTGAACCCTGTACTCCATGCTCCCCAACTCTCTTAACCTTCAGCTGCYTCTGTACAAAGCTCCTTGTCACATATTTTCTGAGTATTTTAGCCTTTATGAACTGCCATAACAAAGTACAGACAAACCCCCATTTATAATGGTTCAATTTATATATATTTATTACATATACCATATATATATTTCACTATTTTGATGGTGCAAAAGTGAAATGAGTTTGGTAGAAACTCTATTTTGAATTTTGATCTTTTCCCAGGGCTAGTGATATGTAGTAMAATAGTCATGCCATGCTAGGCAGTGATAGTGAGCCACAGTTCCCAGTCAGCTGTGCAACCCCAAGGAAACAACCTATACTCTGCAGTGCACTGTGTTGCTAAGCTATGATGTGCAGTGGGTTAGGTGTATTAAATGTATTTTTAATTTCTGATATTTTCATCTTATGTTTGGTTCATTGGGCCATAACCCCATCATAAGCTGAGGAGCACTTTTCTATAAATAAGGTGACTTATAAGCAATATTTATTTTTCACAGTTCTGGAGAATTCCAAGATCAAGGCACTGGCAAATATAATGTCTGGCAAGGGTCTGTTCCTCATAGATTGTACGTTTTTGTGTTCCTCTCATGGTGCAAGAGGCAAATTGGCTCTTGCCAGTTTGTTGACAGTTTTGCCTCCCCCATCAGACTGTAAGCTGCTGGAGGCCAATTCTGTACAATTTATCCATGCATCCTCAGGGACCCATGTGGCATCTGACTTGTGGGAGATAGTTGCGGAACCCTTATCCTTTTCTCAAAGATTTTGTTTGTCAGTGGGTCTCATCTTTCCCCTTTGCCATCTGTCTTTTCCTTCTCAGTGCACAGATTGCTCACATTGCTCCATCTTAAATGTTTAACCTGGYCTTTGAACCAACATCTTGCTCTTCCTACTACTGATTCGTCTCTGTCCCTTTTACCAGATTTATGGTACTCTTTCTGCTTTCTTACTGCCATTTATACCTTACCCCCGTGGTTGAGAATTTATCCCTCTGGTCTGATGAATATTACTCTCTGGCTTAAAATCAGCAACAGTTTCTGCCAAATTCCAAGGGCACATTTGGAACTTGCTGGACTTCTCAGCTACACTGAGCCCCATTAAAGATTCCCCTTCATGAGTTCCTGCTCCTTTAGCTTCCTTAGCACCAAGCCCTGCTGGTTGTTCTCATCCTCTGTGATTCTGTCTTCCTTGGGTGCCTCTCTTTCTCACCTTGCCCCTTGGTCATGAGTGTTTCCTGAGTTCTTTTCTGGCTCATTGCTCTTCTGAGTGAGCACACCTGCTGCGGGTGATCTCTTCCCTGTTCTCACTCCCAACCACACTGTCCCCTGTCCCCAAACTCAACCCTTGATCTCCTGAATACCCACTACTATGTGCACACAGGCACCTCCTTCTCAGCATGACCCAGACTCCCTAACTTGCTCTGCTACCTGTCTTCTCTTTGTCAGGGGCACCACCAGCTATAGCCACAGCCATTCAGTCACCTGTGTAAACCTGGAGCTCACCATGGTGCACCCACACACCTACATTAGCTGTTTTCAGTTCTATTCCATTAATATTTTTCTGATTGTCTTGGGTTTTCCTCCTTACTCAATACTTCAGTATATCTCGTCCAGACTCTCATATGGGTCTTCCTGAACTTCTAGGCTTATATATTGATTATGAGCCACCATTGTTGAGTGTTTACTGTGTCCCAGTGCCTTACATTTATCATTTACTTCCCATTTAATGGTTTGCAAGGCCAAGGTTTCATTATCTCTGTTCTCACCATAAATAGGTGAAGTCATGCATATATTAGTAAGCTTGATTTAGCCATTCTACAGTATATACATATTTTAAAATGTATACTGTTGGGATGCAAGGATGGTTCAATATACGGAAATCAATAAATGTTATTCACCACATCAATAGACTTAAAGATAAGAACCATATGATCATCTCGATAGATGCAGAGAAAGCATTCGACAAAGTACAGCATCCCTTTATGTTCAAAACATTAGAAAAACTAGGGATA